TACCGATTAAGTCCCGATCTTCAGGGTTTTCTTTATTAATTTAATAAGACTCTCCCTGTACTCTTTTCCAGTAAACAGTTTTTCGCACAAACGTGGCAATACTTTCGTTATCACAAAGAACATAGAATATAAGGGAGCCATAAGGAAAGTCAGCATCCTGATTTTCTATGATGTTTGGTTATGTTTTGTTCTCTCTAACTGGAACTCTCTGCAGTCTGTCATTCTTGTTGTCAATTTTGTTTTTTAAGGTTATTATAATTATCCTTTTAATGAAACGATTCAAACTTTAATTTCGCGAAATTATAAAAATAAATACTAATTCCCTCAAAAAGTTCAAGGATATGAAAAATAAAAGATGTAAATACATTGGCGAAAATATAAATAAGGAAGAGATATTTTAGCAAGCATTTGTTATTCTCCTTTAGATTATTTAATGTTTATTAATTGTTCATGAAAGTGTTGCTCGTTATCTAACAAAGCCCATGTAAAGCCCTTTGTAGAAAAATTAGCAAAATTCGACAAGGTTTCATCAAAATTTTGAGCTTTTCAATTATATTCCTTATAAACATTCTGAGTAGGCAGTTTAGTAACTTATTCAATTTAAAGTTTAAATTTTAAGTAGCTAGGACTTATCGTTGAAGGAGTTACTCATTTTCTCCAAATAAAAAAAATTTCGCACATACTATGTATGGAAGAATATGCGCGAACAAAAAATTTGCAAAAAATCAACTGTAAGCCCAAGCTACTTCAAACTTGAACTTTGTTATGCTAAAACTTAGTGAGCTATAAAACTGCATACTCAAAACAGTTCTAAAAAAACCTGATAAAAATGTTTAAAATTTTGAACAACATTTGTTACTTGTTTTTTTTTTAGATAGTAAGCTATATTTTCGTAAAAAAATAATAACAACTTTTGTAAACAAAGAAAAGTAGCCAAAGCCTGCTAAAATGTCTTTTCCCTATTTACATTCTCGTCACCGCATATTCTTTGTGTATACATTTTTGCGATAAGTATACATTTTTTTCTTTATTCCAAAAAAAAAATGTATGTTCGGATTCGATGCCTTAGAATTGTTCCGATTTCTGTTTGCAGGAATCTGGTCACCGTAACTATACCACATCTTCAGTCCTATAACTACATATTTTTAGTTGTAGAGAGCTGCGAAATCCCTTTAGCTCAGTTGCGAGGCCATAGAGTATTTCCACTCTATTAAAGAGCAAGTATTAAAAATTAACTCTTCTGCAAAGTTGTTCATTTAGACGGCTTAGTATTTAGGTCCAGGGCAACACAGCATCTAAATGAAAAATTTTTACCGAATACCAGTTGTAGCTTGACAGATATTGAAAAACTCATCATAGAAGACAACTATCGTTTGGACACGGTGTAAAGCTGTTGGCCTTTTTCTACTGTTGGATAACAACGAAACACATCAAAGACTATCTTGCGCCGCTACTCATTGATCTAGGTTCTAGAAAATAAAAAAATTAACAAGAATGAATAAAAACAGTTATGTAGTAATAAATATGTAAGTGTATATTTTGAAAATTATGAAAGAATGGAAAACATTTGGTAATCTCTATGTAACCTAGTTTATTTAAATAGTACCCTTCTTTGGATCTCTTAATAAAACTTGCACATACATACATATGTAAGTAAGAATTAAGACAACTGAGTAATCAAGCATTACTGCAATGTTCGTAAAAAATATACATACATATGTAAATATGTGTGTATGTTTGTAGGTACATAACATGCAACCACAACACGAAACTCACGAACATACCACACACAGCTTCCGCATTCGTGCTCTGGCTTGCACAAGAAGCCTTTCACATTAGCTACAATACTTCTGCCACTTCTACTGAATTCAACTACATACAATTACTAAGCGTACACACTTGGCTGTTGGTAGTTAGTGTTCTATATTATATTTACCAAGTACATATCTTAATACCTCAAGAGCTTGCGGCCTATTTCGCTTTTGCTGCTGATGCTGTCGCCGCTGGCTGCATTGCTCTTTGATTGCCTGCCGCGGTGTCTTGTTGAGCAACTTTGGCTTTGAGCGGCTGCCTTCTTGTCTGCTCCGACCAGTTTCATTGTCGACGGTGGGCTTGGCTTCAAGTCAACAGGTTCTATTTCTAGCAAGTTTTGTTTTACAAATTAGGCAACGCAGTAACTTGAAATTTCTTGCATAAAAATTAATTTTTATATTCTTAATTTTATCTCATCTTTGTTGGTCGAATTAGCTGGTAAAGTCTCAAGTTAAAATGTGTGTACTTTGAGTCATATTTTTCATGTCGAATGACGCAATGCGTATTTGATTTTTTTTTTTTTGGAGTGCAATGATGTGTTGAAAAGCTAATGGACATATACATTTGTTATGATATTAGTAGCCTGGGACAGTTGACTAGAGAACCCTACAATAACGTTTTCGCGAAAGTGATCAAGAATCATAACCGTAATTCATGGCCAGAAAGAAAAGTTTTTGGCAAAAGCTTCGATTTTACACCTGGTGCTCTTCCCTAACGTAAAATTAAAGAAAACATTGGAGTCGGTTAAGGCGTGGCGCACAGGGGTCAAAATTCAAACAACTGGCGAATTTAACATGGCGATGTCCCAGGAAGTGTCAATTGCGTTTTGTATTACTAAGTTATGAAAAAGCATCTGGGAAGTGCAGAATGGAAGCGCATTTGAATGAAAAATCCGCCAAACACATATCTATGTAAAGTAAACAAGCCCCCGCTGCATCCCTAGTTCTGCTGCATCTAGTTAGTTTTGCCTCCCTTTTTCTCTAGTTCCAAACCAGTTCTAAATTTGTCCCCTTTAGATATAGATTTCTAATGAAAAAAGT